GGGCTGACACGCCCTGTCATTGTTGGTCCAATATTTACTGAGGGCCTTCTATGTGCAGGGATTCCTCACCCTTCAGGTGCTCCCACGCCTGCGGGGAGATGTTACACTAGGAGTAGAAAGGTGTTTCAACAGAAGTCCTAACTATGTGCCTTAGGCTGGGCATATCAGGCGAAGCTGCCAAAGAAAGGGCTTTCGGTGGGAACTTAAATAAGTTAGGGGAGCAGAGGTGGGGTGGAGCTCCCCAGGCAGAGAGATGAAGATGGAGAAGGTCAGATGTGTCCCGACCAGAAGCATCCTGGCGAGATGGGCTGTGTGGGTTTAAGTGGCTTCAGGGTTGGGCCGCACGCTCTCGCTGGGAAACTCGGGTGCTCCTGCTACAACTTGCCCCCTCCCTCTCAGGTCAGCCAGTTCCAGACTGCCGAAGCTTGTGGCTCAAGGCAGCCGGAAGTGGAAACTGCTCAGCTGGAGCGCTTGCTGAGCAACGATGTCTGCTCTCTGAGCCTCCGAGTTCCCATCAGCACGAAAACCACAGGAACTCCCAAGACTGTCGTCACCGGTGTGGGTGACCACTCTCGCTTCCACGTGCAACACGTGTACGCCATTGGGTAGAGGCTGCTGGCGCCCGGCCAGGCGGGCGCGGTGGGCGGGCGGCGGCCTAGTCCTGGGCCCGGAGCCCCAAGCGAAGGCCCACTGCCGCCCGCGGCCGCCCCGCCCTCCCCCGGCTCGGGGCGGAGCTTCCGCCTGGCCGCCCCTTTATCTGCCCGCTTGTAGCCGGGCTGCCGAGGGCTGCCGAGGGCCGCTGGGGCGCAGTCGGGCCTCCTTTTGCAACTCGGTTCGGTCGCAGGTACCGGGCTAGGGGGAAAGTGGGAGGGCCGGGCGGCGGGCAGAGGGGGCTCTCCCCGCGGGGCGGAGCGCGGGGAGCTGTGTGCAGCCGAAACTCGGGGCTAGGTGAGGTGGGGTTACGTGGGGAGGGAGTGGGAGGCTGACAGAGGGGATCAGCTGGAGTGGGGCGCCACTGAGGAGGGACTGGAGCGGGAAGGAGGAGCGGAGCTGGAGGCCAAGAGTCTCAGGGAGGAGTGGGAGGAGACTGAAGGAGAGGGGCCCTCAGAGCCGGAGGGAAGCGCATCCGTGAGGGAGTGAGCAGAGGCGCGAGCTGGCCTGGGAGGGCCGTGGTGTCTTGGAAGAGAATAGGCACGGAGCACGCTCCTTCCACTGAAGGAGGAATCTAGTGAGATTCTGGGGGCAAAAGGGGGCGTGAGTACCTGGAACTGGGTGATGTGACGGGCTCCCAGTTGGGAAACCGGAAACAGTGGTAAGAGCGCTGCTGGGGCTCAGAGGGGCTCTTGCTCCAAAGCAGCTTAGGTCCCGTGGGAGGAGGAAGCCTCCTTTGGTGTCGGGAGAGCATGAGGTTTCCTCCCACGCAGTGAGGGAAGCACTTGCCTCAAAACTATAGGCTTTGAGGACCTCTAGAGGTTTCCCTGGGGCATGCCACCGCCCCCCCCTCCCCCTCCACTCCGCCCCAAGCCTGGCGGGAGTGAGAGGTCAGGTCAGGCCAAGGCTGGGGAGTTTAAGAGTTAGATGTATTCTCAGGGCCTGGCTGGCTGCTCCTAAGGTGGATGTCCCATTAGAGACGGACTCAGCCTCCCATCATGTGGTTTGTGCCACTGCTGAGCCCCTTAGTGAGAGGCTGCTTTTCCCCAGCCTCAGTTTCCCTGCCAAGAGGTCGGTGGTGAAACTGGTCAGTGGTAAAACCCAGGTCCCTTTTCTGTCCCCCTGGGCTGGAAACTAGCTAGTTCACCCAACCTCTCTGGGCCTGCTTTCCTCCACCAGGTGCTTCCTTTTCCTCAGAACAGTTCTGAGTCTGAGATCCTAGGAATTCCTTTAAGAGTGATTTATTTCATGCTGATCACACTTTCCAGTACAAATGGAAGCCCAAAGTGCAGTTACAAAAACAAAAGCGTTTTCTGTTCAGTTTTGGAAGACATGGAGGAAGCTTTTCTTTAAACACGTTGGGTAGAACTGGGGAATTGGTTTGCATTGAGGGAGGTGACCCAGTTGCTGAGATATCAAGAAGCCAGCCAGGGATGAAAACTTTGCTTGTACAATCTGTGGCCACCCACTGGGTGCCTGGGAGTTGACCACAGCAGATGAAGGGCAAGAACACTGGTTTTGGAGTAAGATGTGCTCTGCCATCCTGCCTCACTCTGGGGCTGTGACAGCAGCTTAGCCACAGGTTCAAAGAGTTGCTGAGAGGGAGAGGTGAAATGTGTGTAAAAGTTCTCTGTAAACAGCAAGCCACTGTAAATTATTAATGTTAGTGCCTAGTCTTATTTATTTTTTATTTTTTTATTTTTTGCGGTACGCGGGCCTCTCACTGTTGTGGCCGCTCCCGTTGCGGAATGCAGGCTCAGCGGCCATGGCTCACGGGCCTAGCCGCTCCGCGGCATGTGGGATCTTCCCGGACCGGGGCACGAACCCGTGTTCCCTGCATCGGCAGGCGGACCCTCAACCACTGCGCCACCAGGGAAGCCCAGTGCCTAGTCTTATTCATAATATTTCAGGCTCTGCCATATTGTGTCATTCTTTGTCAGGACCCCTCAAGAGGGTTTACCTCTGACAGCCCCATTGTTAACACTGGTCTGGCTTTTTTGTTATTTTTATCTAATGAGGTTAAACTTTGCCTTTCATGGCAAGATAAAGTTGTCTTTAAGGGAGTTGCTGAAACATCAGGGCCCAGAGAAGCAACAGTGAATATTTTGCATGCCAGGAAGGAGGCAAAAGGGGAAGTAGAATTATAATCAAATGATACTTAAAAGAGTTAGGTGCTATTTAATTAGGCTATTAAGCTCCAAATGGGCAGGGTATTAATACCCTTAGGGGTTACCCTTAGCTGTTAATTAGCTGGACTATTAGTCCTATGAGGGCGGTGTTTTAACTGCTTTGTTCACTGCAGAAGCTTCAGCTCTTGACATACAGTAAGCCTAAAACAAATATTGCTGCAGTGTCTCAGGGACTGAAGGGCCCTTTGAAGTCATTGGTGAATTTACTCTGTCCTTTGACATTTGGAGAAACAGGGCCAAGAGCGGAAGGGACTTGTCCAGGGTCACACTGGGATTGAGTGGCTGAGTCAGGACTAGAATCCAACAAAGATAGTGGAGCCCATGCTGTGCCAGAGCCAACACCTAGTTAGCATCTATGACTTTGTTTTGCTTAAGGTAGCTATTATTATCCTCTGATTTCAAATGAAGAAACAGGCCCAGAGAGGTAAAGGGACTTTAGCAAAGTCACACAGCTGGTAAGTTCCAGACCTGAAATCCCATCCTCACATAAAAATGGGGACCTGGGTTCTCTTGAAATATCTGCCCGAGGTGAGAGGTAGGTGCCCTGCCTGGGAGGAGCAGCTCTTTCCAGTTCTCCATGGTTACCACCTGGGTGGCTTCTCTCTGGGCTTGGATTTTCCTGGGCCCAAGGGCATTTCATTTGTGTGGGTGAGCCCTGTCAGGGCAGGGAGCCTGTCTGCCTCGTTCACCATGTGCCCCAGCCTTGTGCCTGGCATATAGTAAACACTGAGTAAAATCTGTGGGATGGGTATAACCCAGGGCTCTCCCACTCCAAAGCCTATTCATTACCCCATCCCCACAACTTGGTCTGCTGTTTTGCCCCCAGAGGTATCAGGGGGAGACCAGGAGGAACTAGGGGTGGGAAGCCTTGGTTGAGGAAGGAGGTGAGGAGGTTGACCTTGAGTTTAGAACAGGGGAATGTGAATTGGGAGGGCTGGGGAGGTAGGAGAGAAGAGGAAGGTGCTGCTCAGTTGACAGAAGAATTCCCACCTGGGCCCTGGAGATCCCAGTTCTGAAGTTCAGCCAACCCAGGAGCCTCCCAAACCTGTGAGACGTGCCCCAGCCAGGCCACAGCCTTTTGCATTACCTGCTAGCACAGTCTACCCCCTCTACCCTCCTGCTTCAGGATGGGGCTCCTGGGGCTGCTGAGCTTGAGGCCCTTTTCTCTGGGGATTTCACTTCCCAGCCACTTCTCTTGGGTCAGTGGGCAAGTGCAAATCTTCAGAACCCTGTGAATCCAGAGAGGTTACTCTGAATGGTCTTTGCTGAGAACATTTTAATTATTAAACTCCAACCAAATTCCCCCGGTCGCTAAATGCATCCTCAGAGAAGGGTAAAGATTTAAAGAGACAGTTAACTTTCTAAGGCCTCCAAACGCAGTGGAACCAGCTATCAAGGGCTAAAAGAGGACCGAGTTTTTCAGAGAACCCCAAGTAAATTTTTCAAGCTGGGAATATTTTAAATACTAATACTCAGGCTGGGGATATTTCAAATACTACTACTCTTAATAATAATAATGACTACTACTATTAGTAATTAATACTAATAATAGGAATCATTTATTGAATCCCTAAATAGTGCTAAAACTGTTATCATAAATTTAATCTTTGTAGCAATCTATGAGGTAGATAATATAATTCTTATGTGGGAGCTGAGGATCAGAGAAGGTGAGACACTTGTCTTAGGTCACACAGCTAGTATGTTATGGAATCAGGAGTCAAACCTGCTTTGTCCAAATCTGAAGTCCATCTCCTTCACGAGCCTTTATAGTGTCTCTTTTCTCCTTGGTTCCTAAGTTCCTTTCATTGTGATTCCCACTGAGTAGAGGACAGAAGCCAGTCAAGTTTGCCTCACATCCATGAACCAGGCCCTGGACACCTGGTCTCAGCCCAGCTTTGCCTGCTTTGCTGTGTGATCTTGGGTAAGTCACAACATTTCAGCTGGCCCTCGGTTTCCCCAAATGTTTCATGCCAAGGTTAACCACGAGCTTCCTTCTGCAGCTGAGGCCTGGCTAGGGATGCAGAGTTTAGCCTGGACTTGACCAACATGGGAGTGGTGATCGGGGGAGGGGAGAGGGTGGAGGTTGTCTTTAGCCCCACCCTCTGGTGACATCACACAAGACCCCTATAGTCCCTGGAAGCCCCACCCCTAGTGACCCTCACCTGTGGAAGTGCCACCCAGTGCTTGGCATCTGGTGAATTTGCCCTGTTCCACAGCAGAAGTCATCAGCCCCTGGGTTCAAGAGAAATCCTTAGGTAACCAGTGCAGTTAGGGAGACTTGGAGGGGGGCCATGGAGGTGTACTGGATTGGGGTGGGGTGCCTGGAACAGCCAGGTTCTGGCAGCCTGGTGGGCAGACTACTCAAAGGATGCCCTGAGGGTGCCCTCTGAATACTCACCCTCATCCTTCTGGCTCTTGCTAGACTCCTGCCCCTGCTTCTTTCCCCTGGATCCAGTTCCCCTTTCCATGGAGTCAGGAGATGGGAACTAACTCTGAAAACAGAGCTATTCAAATGGAATGGGGCCACTGGTCTAAAGGTGTAAAGGAAATAGGGCAACTTGACCTCTGTCATCCCAGTATGCAGCCTCTGGGTTCTGTGCTTAGGGCCCACTGTGTCTGGGGGAGGGGAAGGGCTGCGAGTGAGCTATCGCCCACCTGGGGAGGTAGCTGTGAGCCAGGGCTTCATTGGTGCAGAGAGAGTGGGTAGCTGGCAACTGGGTGAGTCTGAGGTCCCTGGATGCAAGTCAGTTGCTAGAAGCCTAAGGAAATAATTTATGGGAAAGGACCTGGTTGCCTGCTTTAGACCAGTGTTTTCCAAAGTAGTTCTTTGGGATGCAGTTAGGTGTGACAAGAAGCAGGGCAGCAGGAGTGGCTGAGAGTATCTGTGCTCTGCAGTCGGGGAGCTGGGTCCGGATCCTGGCTCCATCTCTCTCTCTCCCTCTCTCCCTCTCTCTGTATGGCCTTGGCTAAGGAGCTCCCAACCTCTCTGAGTTTCACTCAACAACAAAATGGGCATAGCAATACCTATCTCACAGGCTAGTTATGAGAATTAATTGCAGCAAGGCTATGAAGAGTGAGCATATAGTAAACACTTACTACATTTCAGCTAGCTTTATAATATAATCATTACTGGGAAAGGAATCCTTGGTCATGTAAGCTTGGCAAATGTAGGTTCAACAAAGTGAAGTAGGCTTCTTTGGTGCAGACCTTCTCTGAGCTGTTATTACTTGGGAAGTTCTAAGAGTGGGATGTGGAGCATTGGACTGGACTTAACAGATCACAGGGACTCAGGAACTAAGGCACCATCGAATGTCATCATTCCCTGGTCTTTGCCCTCATGGTGGAATGGAAACGTGGCTGGTTTGGGCAACTCTGGGGAAGGGCTTGCTGTCTCTGGGCTCTTGTTTTCTAAATGTAAAACAAAAGAGCTGCGAGATGCTTTCAGAGGCCTTTTCTGGTCCCCTGAAGTTCTGAGTTGGGAAGGCAAAGTGGTAGACAAGGGTAGAGGCCAGACTGTTGAGGCTAAAGCCCTGTCTCTTGGGGAGGAGAAGAAATCCAGTGCTGGCTCCTCAACCAGCAAGTGGGCCAGGGGAGTTGTTATGCTCTGGACAGAAGTGGCCCCACTAATTAGTTCATCAGCAAGGTCTTCTTCCTAAACCTGCCAGGCTGTCTGGGAATAGAAAGTAGTGGTGTAATGACATTTAATTCTTTCCTCCCTACTAGATGAGGAAAGGCCAGAGACCAGAGCTGACTCCAGAATGTAATGCAGGAGGAGCTCAGGGATGCAAATCAGGCTCGGGGTGTGGAAGAGTGTGGGCTGGGGGCTTGTCTTGATGTCGCCTTTGCATAGCAAGCACATTGCATTTACTTGGACCATGTGCGAATTATTGGGTGGCTTTGGGGGTGATCACGGTGCTGCTGGTGGTGGGGAACTTGAGTGCAGATCTTCTTGCCTCTTAGAATGACTGGTGCAAAGGAAGTTGCAATAAGTATCTGATGAAGGATGGACAGAGTACATCTGGCTGCTGAGTCCAATAAGCTTCTTAGGGGAGAATCTGAGGGAGGGGAGTTGTCTGTCTAGCTAGTTGTCTGGCTAGTTTTTCAACAGATATTTGATTTAATGAATGAAACAGTGAATAATGATAAGCCTGAATTAAGCAATTGGTACCAGGCAAAAGCAGTATATAATTATGAAATCATTAATAGTACTTGCCACCTTGTTTTGCAAAGGGCAGTTTAAGGAAGTGGTTAAGATTGCAAACTGAGTTTATATCATGCCTCTGCCACTTCCTAGGCAGGGTACTTAACTTCTCTGTGCCTCAGTTTCCTTATCTGAAAAATGGGCATAATGATAATACCTATCTGATAGGGTGCTATGATGCTTAAATGAGTCAAATATTAAGCATAAAGTGCTTAAGACACTGACACATAGCACATGCTGTGTAAGCATTTGCTATGCTTTGTTTTCCTCTCTGTTACCTCTACCATATCATGAAGTTCCTGAAGGCAGGGATCAAATTCTTTTCCACTCTCCTGCCCACCCCCACCTTTGGAACCTGGCACAGGACATGAAGCAGAGAAGGGGCTCAGTAAGTGTTTGCTAAATGAATGTGTTTTAAATGCTAAATTGTATAACCCATTATAGATCTCCCACAGGGAGAAGTAAGGGGGCATTAAGGAAGTCCCCTGGAGGTGGCAGCTTGTACTGGTTTTAAAGGATTTCAGTAGAGGGAAAGGAAGTTGGCACAGGGTCTGACATTTGGGTTAGGTGGGAAATGAGGGTGGGAGCAGGTCATGGGGTCTTGAATGCCAGGTGAGGGGTTAGATTGGATTTATTTGCAATTAGCAATGGTGGAAGGGTTGGAGGGGGGAACTTTTGAGTGAGGGTGTGGCTGAGGGAAAGGGCTGTTTTTATAGGATCAGTTGTTACTAGGGTCTTTTGGGGAAAAAAGTGGCTTTTCGAGTTGGGCCTTGAAGGCTATGAAGTATTATCAGGATGCTATTATGTTTTTTTTTTTTTTTTTCGGTATGCGGGCTTCTCACCGCTGTGGCCTCTCCCGTTGTGGAGCACAAGCTCTGGACACTCAGGCTCAGCGGCCATGGCTCGGTATGCGGGCTTCTCACCGCTGCGGCCTCTCCCGTCACGGAGCACAGGCTCCGGATGCGCAGGCGCAGCGGCCATGGCCCACGGGCCCAGCCGCTCCGCAGCACGTGGGATCCTCCTGGACCGGCGCACGAACCCGCACCCCCTGCATCGGCAGGCAGACCCCCAACCACTGCACCACCAGGAAAGCCCTATTATGTTGTTTTTGCATTCAACAAACATTGAGCACCAGCTACCTGCTAAGCACCAGGGGTTCACAAAATAATAAGACAAACTGCCTACCCTGGAGGAGCTCGCATTAACAATTTAATGCCCGTGAGAAGTATTATAATGGTCAAAGGATTGTAGGCACTCAAGTTAGAGGGGTCATCATCGGAGGACCTCCAGGGAAAGTGTCATAGAAGAAATGGGTTTTGAGGAATGAATAGGAGTTTTCCAGATGGGCAAGATGAGGTAAATGGCTCAGATGGAGGAAACAGCTTGTGCAGAGCTATAGACATGTGAAATAGCAGGCCCACGGTTTTGATGAGGCTGTGGCTGGATGTGAAGTGCACTGTGGTTGAGTAATAAGGCTAGGAAAGGTAGTAGGGACCAGATCATGTAGGGTGATGGAGGGTCAATGGCAGACCCTGGCCACTCTGAAGGAGTTAAAGGTAGAGGCAGCAGGTCTGTTAGCAAGGTCATTGTCAGGTAAACACTGATGGCAACATGAACACAGGAGAAAACAGTGAGGGTTGCTGTATGGAGCCTGGACTGGAAAGAAGTAGGATGACATAGTGAGCCTCTTTAACACATGCCTTAAACATTTACTGAACACCTACTATGTGCCAGGCACTGTTCTAGGCACTTGAGATACATCAGGGAGAAGAACAATCATGAGTCAGAGCTGAGCTCTCCCTCAGGACAACTCCCCTCCTCTTAAACTCAGTGTAGGGATAAGGGGGTGGGGAAGAGCACAGCCCTCCAGCTGCTGCTCATGGGGCAGGAGGGTGAGGACACCAGCCCCCTGACCTTGCTCGGGCCTCTCTCCCAGCTCCTCGCCCCACCCACAGCCATGGCCACAATGGTGGCCCAGAAGCTCAGCCACCTCCTGCCCAGTTTGCGGCAGGTCTACCAGATGCCTCGGCCGTCTGTGCAGCCAGAGCCTGTGTTCACGGTGGACCGAGCTGAGGTGCCTCCCCTCTTCTGGAAGCCATACATCTATGTGGGCTACCGGCCACTGCATAGGACCTGGCGCTTCTACTTCCGCACACTGTTCCAGCAGCACAACGAGGCGGTGAACGTCTGGACCCACCTGCTGGCGGCCCTGGTGCTGCTGCTGCGGCTGGCCATCTTTGTGGGGACCGTGGACTTCCGGGGAGACCTGCACGCCCTTCCCCTCTTCATCATTGTTCTTGCCTCCGTCACCTACCTCTCCCTCAGTGCCTTGGCTCACCTCCTGCAGGCCAAGTCTGAGTTCTGGCATTACAGCTTCTTCTTCCTGGACTACGTGGGTGTGGCTGTGTACCAGTTTGGCAGTGCCCTGGCACACTTCTACTATGCCATTGAGCCCGCCTGGCATGCCCAGGTGCAGACCTTTTACCTGCCCATGGCTGCCTTTCTCGCCTGGCTTTCCTGCGCTGGCTCCTGCTACAACAAGTACATCCAGAAGCCCGGCCTGCTGGGCCGCACTTGCCAGGAGGTGCCTTCGGCGCTGGCCTACGCACTGGACATCAGCCCCGTGGTGCACCGCATCCTCGTGTCCCCCAACCCTGCCATGGATGACCCGGCTCTTCTCTACCACAAATGCCAGGTGGTCTTCTTTCTGCTGGCTGCCACTTTCTTCTCTGCCTTCATGCCTGAGCGCTGGTTCCCTGGCAGCTGCCATGTCTTTGGGCAGGGCCACCAGCTCTTCCATGTCTTCTTGGTGCTGTGCACGCTGGCTCAGCTGGAGGCCGTGGCGCTGGACTACGAGGCCCGGCGGCCCATCTATGAGCCTCTGCACACCCGCTGGCCCCACAACTTCTCCGGCCTCTTCTTGCTTACTGTAGGCAGCAGCATCCTCACTGCATTCCTTCTGAGCCAGCTGGTACGGCGCAAACTCAGTCTCAATCGGAAGACCCAGTGAAGGGGGGTGGCAGCTTTTAGGGAGGGAGGTATAGTGGGGGCCCAAGGGTCTGGGCTTGGCTCCAGATGGGAACAAGGCCTGGTAAAATTGCTTGTGTCTGGCCCGCGGTGACTTCTCTGTGCACGCCTCAGCTGCCAAGGGGGGCACTGGCCAGTCCTTGGATTTGAGGAGTGGCTGGAGCTGCTGGGGTCCACTTCAGGGCCTGCCCCAGCTCCCTGCCCTGGGAGAGG